CCTCCTGACCTTCACGAAATGGGTAAAAACCATATCATTTGAAGAGACCTTTAGAAACATCTAAAGGTTTGATATCCTAGCAGGCCCATGAATTGAACTGACCATTGAGTTTGATTTACCGTCCAAGTTTTCCTTCATTTGTTAGGACATCCTGGGTTTTAATGTCTGTTGGTTCTCTCTATTTATGTTCTCCTGGGTGGGATTGGGTAATTGTGTTTTAACTGTTGTTAGCTACCCAGAGTAGTGCTTGAGCGCTAGATGGAGGGGATATAAATGTAAGGAATAAAATAAAAATTATTTTCCCCCTCAGAGCTGCAGCTAAGAATTGAAACATGGAGGAACAAGACCTGGCTGGACTCAAGCAAGCTGGGGAAAGATTGGAAGAAAGAGGACGAGGCCGTGAGGCTGTCCCGGTGGACGCTACCCCAAAATGTGTGAGTAAAGCTACTTCGCAGCCAGTTAAACAAGAATCAGAGGAGAGGCTGCAACCGGGCTGGGAAGCCCCCTGGTCTGAGTTCCAGAATCCACCACAGTCCAATTCTTCAAGCTGGAAAAATGCACAGCCTCCGTCACAACGGGGTGGAAAAGAATTCCCAGTCTCCTCAAAAAGAGGCCCCGATCTACGGTCAAGAAAGAAGCATGTATCCCAAGCCGCGACAGGCCTCAGGGACGAAACCCGTGAGGCCGATGGAAGCCTAGACTTTTCTATGGAAGTGAAGGAAGAAGTCCCAGATGAGGAGTCCCCGGATTTGGAGCTGAGGCGCCAGCGGTTCAGGCAGTTCTGCTACCAGGAGGCGGAAGGGCCGCGAAAGGCCTTTGGCCAGCTTTGGGAGCTTTGCCATCAGTGGCTGGAGCCAGAAAGACACACCAAGGAGCAGATCCTGGAGCTTCTGATCCTGGAGCAGTTCCTAACCATCCTGCCTCCAGCCATGCAGAGCTGGGTCCGGGAAGGTGGTCCTGAGTCCTGTTTGGAGGCAGTGGCCCTGGCAGAGGACTTCTTAACCAGGCCAACCGTTGCTGGAAGATGCCAGCCAAGTGGCCCCAGGAAAGCTGGGGAAAGGGAGAGGGGCCAGCTCCCTTGGAAGGTCTGTGTCACAGCCGCCTTGGGTCTCTCCGGTGTCATGTGTGGGGGTGGGAAGCCGAGAACGGGCCAAAGTTACTTTTTTTGGACCCATCGCTCCCAGAATCCCAGCCAAGCTTATGGGCCAGCTGTAGTCCAAAAAAAAAAAAAAAAGGAACTGATCCTAGCCCAGTTCACTGTGCTGTCCTAGCTATCATTGTGCTGATTTTTCCCTTTGCTGATGAGGAAGGGGTGGTGATGATCTGCTCTCAAGTCAACTCTGGCAATTGTTTTCAGGGTTTTCTGGGTAGAGCATACTCAGACGTGGTTCACGATTCCATTCTTTTAGTGGCATCCTGGAGACTGTACAGCTCGCCCAAGGCTACATAGGCTGACTTTTCTCCTGGGGAGCAGAGTGGGGAATTGAACTCCCAACTTTTGGCTCCACAGCTGGATACCTAAATCACTGAGCTGTTCAGCCCATGATAAGGAACGTGAGTCATGGAAATACTAAGCATGCCAGGCCATTTCCCTAAAGAACCGCAGAAAACTCCGTTGTGCAGTGTGTAACATGTTGGACAATATCCTGTTGGGATTTCATTCCACTGGAACACAAGCCGGCTTACTTTTTTGGAGGCAAACTTCCAGTTTTAAGGAACCTCCACAGACATTTTCTGTTGCATACCGAGTCATTGTGGCTTGGTATTTAACAGAGAAGGTCTAGGATGATGTCATCATCATCTGTAAGTTAATTCTGACTTATGGCAATCTTTTCCAGGGTTTTCCAGGGAGAGAATACACAGAAATGGTTTACCCTTCCCTTTTCTGGCTCGCCCAAAGCCACACGGGCTGGCTCTTCTTACTGGAGGCACAATGGGAAATCAAACTCCCACAGCCAAAGACCTAAACCACTGAGCTATCCAGCCAGCTTAGAGTTGTTTATACAGTGGTGAATATTGATATGGATGTCCCAGTGTGTTTCAACTGAGACATGTTCCTCTTTGGGTGGGATATTCAGATTCACAATTAAGTTTTTCCAACATGGGAGGGCAAAAGGTTCATTCTGGCCAGCTTCAGAGGGCTGACCTGGATCTCATGGGGTGAGGCTGCAGTAGTACAGTGGTGCCTCGCTTTACGATTGAACCGCATTACAACAAACTTTTGCTATTGCTTTTGCAATCGCTTTACAATGTTTCCTATGGGGGAATTACACTTTGCGATGATCGGTTCCCTGCTTCGGGAACCAATTCTTCACAAAACGATGATTTTCGTATAGCTTATCTGCGGTTTCAAAATGGCCACCGGGAAAACAAAATGCCCCCCTGCTGTTTTCTGGGATGGATTCCTCGCTGCACAGGCAGTGAAAATGGCTGCCCTATGGAGGATCTTCGCTGGATGGTGAGCTTCCAGCCCATCGGAATGCATTAAACAGGTTTTAATGCGTTTCTATGGGCTTTTTAGTTTCGCTTTACGATGTTTCCGCTCTACAGCAATTTCGCTGGAACGAATTAACATCGTTAAGCGAGGCACCACTGTATAGATTTCTACTGAACATGAGAAACATCCTGATGGAAATAGCCCTTCGTCTTCCCCGAGTTCTTTTTGTGACTTAAAATGCTGTCCTTGTTGTGTGTCTCAGCTCCCAGGGCCTTCAGAAGAAGTAGCCACCAATTCGCCAGTGTTAGAGCAGGACCCTTCAGATAACCTGGTGAAACTGCCTTTAGCCGCAGCTGAGAAGACAGGGGGAAATACAGAAGCCACCTTGCTGGGTATGTATGAGGGGCTCAAGCAAACAGTACTGTTAAAGCCATACACATGTATTTATTTGTTTATAACTTTTTAAAATTGCTTTTCATTTCAAGAAATCTAGGAGGGGTTTGTTGCGGTGCGTTATCAAGTCATTTCCAATTAGTGGCGACCCTATGAAATTAATCACTTCAGAAGGTCCTGATCAGCTTCTCCATAAGCTCCAGTGATTCAAATGTGCCTCCACGAGCAGTGAGTGACTATATGCAAGTAAGTCACAACTAGAGTAGCCCCATTTGAATCAATGGAATTGTCAACTCATGACATCCGTGGGCCTGCTGTAGTGCACCTTATTATGCTAAGCAACTTCATGGAAAGCTTCTCCGTGTGGCTGTCATTCAAGTCTGTTCACCTGCTACAGATGCTACAGAAGAAACCATTGAAAACTTTTCTGCCCAGAGGAAACTGATCATGGAACCTTAGAATAATGGAATCGGGAGGGGCCAATAAGGTCATTGAGTCCACTCCCCTGCTCAAGGCAGGAATCCATATCAAAGCAGATGGTTGTCCGATTTTTTCTTGAATGCCTCCAACATTGGCACCTCCTGAGGTGAATGGTTCCTTTGTCATACTACTCTAACAGTTAGAAATATTTTTCCCCTGATATTCAATAGAAATCGGTCTTCTTGTAACCTGAGCCCATTATTACACTCTGGGATGATCGAGAGCAGATCCTGCCCCTCCTCTGTATGACTGCCTTTCAAATATTTGAAAAGTGTTATCATCTCTCCCCTCAGTTTTCTTTTCTGAAGGCTAAACAGGCCCAGTTATTTCAGACTGTCCTCCTAGGGCTTCGTTTCCAGTCCCCTGATCCTCCTTGTTGCCCCCCTCTGAACTTGCTCCAGTTTGTTGGCATCCTTCTTAAAGTGTAGTGTCCAGAACTAGACCCAGTACTCTAAATGAGGTCTAACCATTGATGAATAGAACGGGACTAGTCCCTCGTGGGATCTGGGGGCTATACTTCTCTTAATGCATCCTACAGTAGTGTTTGCCTTTTTTCTAGTCACATCGCACTGTTGGCTCAGATTCAGCTTGTGATCTACAACAACGCCAAAATCCTTTTCACTCATAGTATTACTGAGCCAAGTATTCCCTGTCTTGTAACTGTGCATTTGTTTCTTTCCCCCACTAGGTTACTTCACTCATAGTATTACTGAGCCAAGTATTCCCTGTCTTCTAACTGTGCATTTGTTTTTTCCCCCACTAGGTTATAGAACTTTGCACTTATCCCTGTTATATTTCATTATGTTGTTTTCAGCCCAGTGCTCAAGCCTGTCCAGATCATTCTGGACATTTTGTTTCCGTCTTCCAGGGTATCAGCTAATCCACCCAGTTTTGCATCATCTGGTATTACTGAGCCAAGTATTCCCTGTCTTCTAACTGTGCATTTGTTTTTTCCCCCACTAGGTTATAGAACTTTGCACTTATCCCTGTTATATTTCATTATGTTGTTTTCAGCCCAGTGCTCAAGCCTGTCCAGATCATTCTGGACATTTTGTTTCCGTCTTCCAGGGTATCAGCTAATCCACCCAGTTTTGCATCATCTGCAAATCTGATTAGCATTCGCTGCAACTCCTGATCCAGGTCATTAATAAAATTGTTGAAGAGCAGTGGACCTAGGACTGAGCCTTGGGGTACCCTCCCTCTTGTAACCTCCCAGTTAGAGCAGGAGCCATTTGATCACATCTCAAAACATGACGTGAGAATAATCCTGAGTGACAGAAATGCAAAAGTGGGAAATAAAAGAGAATGACATGCTGTCGGATAATTTGGCCTAAGAATCAGAAAGGAAGCAGGGGAATGACACATGAAATTCTGTTCAGACAGGATTTTTTTTTCATTTTAAATACACGATTTAGCTAGCCCAATTGGCAGTTGTACTCATGCAGCATCATCAGATGGCCAATACATCAGTCAAATAGACCGTATACCGTATTTTTTCGTGTGTAAGACTTATACTTTTGTCTAAAATCTTTAGACTAAAAATTGAGGGTTGTCTTATACACGGGAGTAAGCTGAGGAGAGTGCAACAAGTGGAGGGAAAAGCAGGGACCAAATTGTTCCTGCAGGGCTTTGATCCCTGTTTTCCCCTCCACTTGCTAATCTTTAGCAAAAGTAAAGCAGGGATTAAAGCGCTGCAGGGTTGCTTTGATCCCTGCTTTGCCCTATGCTTGCTAAGTCCCATGGGGCTTAATAAAAGGAGGGGAGAAAGAATCAAAGCAATCCTGTGGCTGTATAAGGGGGAAAGAGATCAAAACGATTATGCAGTTGCGGGAATGCTTTGATCCCTTTCCCCCTCCTTTTGCTAAACCCCACTTCAATTTCTTAATTTTGGGTTAGAAAAGTGGGGGGCGTCTTATACATGAAAAATTACGGTAGTTGGAAACAGAGATGGAGAATCTGTTCTCTGTGGTAAAAAACACTCCTTAAATAAAGGAGGGATGTGGGAGCTGTGGTGATTCTACCACAGAGATTCTCTATTACAAACAGCCATCAGTCATGTGTCTCCCTTTTTCCCACAGGCAGCGATGAAATGAAGATGAATGAGGAGAGAAAACGCCACCTTAAAAGGCTGGAGACGGTGGAGCTCAAGGAGACGCTGTTGGGAAAAGCCAAAGGAAATCCCTGCTCATTTCAGGCTGAGGAAGTGGCAGTGATAGGGTGTCAGCCCGAATCACAAAGTTTCCTGGAAAACAATCCTGAGATGGAGACAGAAACGGCCTTGCCTTGCCAAAAAGGTCCTGGACGTGCCGCGGACGAAGCGATCGGGCAGCGTAAAGCCAAAAAGATCTGCACCGAGTGCGGAAACCTGTGCGAGGTCTTTGACTTGCCCACTGATCGGAAAGCAGAAGCGGAAGAAGAGTTTTACATCTGCCCCAGGTGTGGGAAAACTTTTAAGAATGGAACATCCCTCGTCCCGCCGCCGGGCCCTGCGGCTGCTGCGAAACCTTATTCCTGTTCTGAGTGCGGGAAAAGCTTCGGCACCAAGGCTTCCCTCCTGAAGCACAAGGGGACCCATTCGGGAGAGAAGCCCTACGTGTGCTCTGAGTGTGGGAAGTGCTTCACCACCAGCTCCAACTTGATCTACCACAACATCGTCCACACCGGGGAGAAACCTCACAAGTGCTCCGACTGTGGCAAAAGCTTCCACTGGAAATCCTCCCTGATCACCCACGAGAGGACCCACACGGGGGAGAAACCATACGCCTGCCCCGAGTGCGGGAAGAGCTTTGGCAACAGCTCCCAGCTCCTGCGCCACAAGCGGGTGCACACGGGCGAGAAGCCCTACCACTGCTTGGAGTGCGGCCGCAGCTTCAACCAGATTGCTTCCCTCATCGCCCACAAGAGAATCCATACGGGAGAGAAACCGTACGAATGCTCCGAGTGCGGGAAAGGCTTCGGGACCAGGACAAACCTGATGATGCACAAGAGGGTCCACACCGGAGAGAGGCCGTACAAGTGCTCTTACTGTGGGCAGAGCTTCAGCCAGAGGACGCACCTGATCATCCACGAACGGACCCACACGGGGGAGAAGCCCTACACCTGCAACGAGTGCGGGAAGAGCTTCAACGCTAAAGCGCCGCTCATTACTCACAGGCGGACTCACACGGGAGAGAACCTTTACCAGTGCTTCCAGTGTGGGAAAAGCTTCAGCACCAGCTCAAACCTCCTCAACCACAACATCATCCACACGGGGGAAAAGCCGCACAAGTGCTCGGACTGCGGGAAGTGCTTCAATCGGAAATCGTCGCTCATTACGCACCAGCGGACCCACACGGGGGAGAAGCCCTACGGGTGCTTCGAATGTGGGAAACGGTTCATTTCTAGCTCGGACCTCACGAAACATAAGAAAGTGCACCGAGGGAAACGTGCGGAGTCGGCCGAAACGTTTTACAGCCCGGTGCTTGCAGGGCCAGGAAGCATACAGCCAGGAGGGCAGCCGTGTTAGGATCAAGAAGTGACATTGGCAGGCCTTGTTTTGTAAATATGGGGCTGCCCCAGACATGTATAATTTGGGGGACAGAGGTTCTGATTCCGAGAGCAAAAGGGGAGGAGCAGATGGGGGCTTGACATTCTCTCCTCCTCACAGCTCGTACAAATACACATTTTGGCGTTTCTTTTCCCAACCTGGAAAAAAGTGTCAGGGAGACTATAGACTGTAGGAAGGTAGGAATGGGGTTCAAGACCTTATCTGGCCGTATGAAGGAGTTTATAAACCTGGGGTTAGCAACTTAGGGCCCACCAGAAGTTAAACTGGAACTCCCTTCAGTCTTAGGGAGCATAGCCAGTCATGAAGGATAATAGGAATTGTAGTCTAGCAGCATCTGGAGCCGTGGTTCCCCACCTTGGGTCACCCAGGTGTTCTTGGACTGCAACTCCCAGAAACCCCAGCTAGCATTGGTGGTGGTGAAGGCTTCTGGGAGTTGCAGTCAAAGAAAAAGCAAAGTGTGCTGCTTATATACAGCCCCATAGCGCTTCAGGCACTCTCTGGGCAGTTTACAAGTTAATTGCGCAGGCTACACATTGCCCCCCCACCCAGTGAGCTGGGTACTCATTTTACCGACCTCGGAAGGATAGAAGGCTGAGTCAACCTTGAGCCGGCTACCTGGGATTTGAACCCCAGGTCGTGAGCACAGTTTTGGCTGCGGTACAGCGGTTTAACCACTGCGCCATGAGGCTCTGTTCCGGGGGAAACAGAAGACCGGGGTGACCCAAGATTGGGAACCACTGTTCTAGAGGACTACACACAAACGTAAAACATCCACACACAATTTACTGCCCCTACAGTCTCTGATTTTTTAAAAAAATCATCCATGTTCCAATAAATGAAGTGAACCCGTACAAAAGTGGGTAGACCGTCGGGGGAGAACAGCCTGTCATTTCTGCTTGTAAAGTCGGCCACACTCTGCCTCTGCTCTATATGGATGAGGCAGACCTTCATTTAAAAAAAAACAAGGTCTATCACCCATAGGTTTCTGCTGGGATTTAGCGATCCATTTTACTAATTCCATAATAGCTGGTCTTTGTGTGCAGTGGGAAAGGAGCTTTGATCGCACTCCACATCACAAGGTTCAGAAGTATAGAAACGTTGTGTGAAACAGGTGGGAAAAAATATTTTGAGGGAGCATCCGAGGTAGTCACTGACCACAGAAATAGCAGTCCATCTTTGTGGCCCCTTAAGCTTTTGCAGACTTTAGTCCACTTCTTCAGACGCATGTGGACCCGTGTGTCTGGACTGAGGAAATCTAGTTTTAGAGCCAAAATTTCGAATAATTTGCAGGAGAGGGTTGATTTGGTTAATGTTAGGGTACAGTGGTACCTCGACTTATGAACTTAATCCGTGTTGGAACAGCATTCGTACATCGAAAAGTTTGTAATTTGAAGCACAATTTCCCATAGGAATGCATTGAAAACCGTTTAATCAGTTCTGGCTGTTTTTCGTTCTTATGTCGAGGCACTGTTCGCAAGTAGAGGCATTAGTTCCCATAGGAACTAATGCAAAGCTGGTTAATCCGTACTCTACCGCTAGGGGGTGATTTTTTTTTTCTTTTGACCTAAGATGAATTTTGGGCAAAAAAAGGGCAGGAAAGGTGTTTTTTTTTCATTCATAAGTCAAGGCTCCGCTCGCAAGTCGAAGCAAAACTTAGCAAACAGAGCCGTTCATAACTCGAAATGTTCGTAAGTAGAGACATTTGTAAGTTGAGGTACCACTGTACTGTGGTAATGTGGCTTTACAGGAAAAGTTCAAAGTCCTGTTAACCTGCCCTCACCCATCCCAGTCCATAACCACCCCCCTGGCTGAATAGAGTGCTCTGGAATTTGGTAGTGTCAAAAAATAACGACCAGACCAGATGGGCGGGATATAAATCAAATAAATAAAATAAAAATAAATAATAAATAACTTTTTCCAAGTGGTGCTTTTCAAGATGGCATTCCTGTGAGCCCTAGAAATCCAAGGTTTCCTTTGTCATAAGATCACTCTTGCTTCCCATTTGACTGTTAGCTTAGACATTGTTTTCCATGGAGTAAGTCCCACTGAACCCAATGGGATTTGCTTCAAGGTAGACCTTTAGCAAGACATTTTTATCTACCCCCTACACGTATTAGTGGTGCCCAGTGCGGTGGAGTGGATAGAGTGATGGACTAGGACTCAGGAGGTCTGGTTCCAAATCCCCACTCAGTCATGGAAACTCACTGGGGAGTCCTGGAACTGGTAAAACTATTACTTAAATATTTATCATCTATCTTGAAAGTCCTATACAGTGGTGGACTATTAGACGATGATAATCCGTTCCACTGAAATCGCTGTTTAGCGAAATCATCGTCTAGCGAAAAGCATTTCCCCATTGGAATGCATTGAAACCTGTTTAATGCGTTCCAATGGGGAAGAATCGGCATTGTCTAGCGACGATCGGCCATAGGAAAGCCGCTTTGAGAACCGCCGATCAGCTGTTTAAATAGCTGTCTTGCGAAGCTTAGGTCCCCAAAACGCCCGTTTTGCGAGCATGGAGGGAGCTGTCAAAATCGTTGTCTAGAGAAAATCGGTTTGCGAAGCAGGGACCAAACATTGTCCAGCGAAATTCCCCCATACGAATCACTGTTTTGCGAATCACTATAGCGATCACAAAAAGTCAATGTCTAGCGAAAAAACTGTCATGCGAGATAACTGTCTAGCGAGGCACCACTGTACTGTAAAGGGTTGCTATAAGTTGGTTTCAGTTTAACAGTAGGTCTTAGTATTTAGTAACTCCCATACTTCCAGAGAGTGGCAACGCTAATGGGACAGTATAGAAATGGAAATAAAATAAATAAATATATATATACTTTTAAAATTGTCTGTCATCAGGGACAACATGGCAGCTGGGGAGCCCGTGGACACTGGTGAGGATCCTGGGAAGTGTTCACACCTTCTAATTATATCCACATTAATTCCAGTAAACCAGTGCCCGAAATGCTGTTACTTATGCCCGGTGACATTAAGTCCATCAGTGTAAATCTCACTGGAGAGTTGCCACCTGTTAAGAAGGTGGCATTGGCATTTGGTGTGGTACACCAGTGGCATGACTTGCCATGTGATTACAGATGCCTACATTGACTTCTTAACCAGGAGTGGTTTCTGCTGAAATTTATGTCCGTGGACGTAACGCTGGTGTAACTTGTCGGTGAAATTCCCAGTCCTTGTCCCTGAGAACAAGGCTGGTTGGGATGGCCTAGATCCATTTCAAGGAAGTGTGTCCAACATTGCGTACACTGCAGTTGAGGAACCTCCCCCCTGGATAAGAATAATACTGGTGGGGCGACGTTTTGACTTCTCAAAATGGGTGAATTCCTCATAATGCCATTTCTTCTCCACAGATGTCCTTCAGAAGAGGACATCCTGAGATACCTAAAAAGGTATCTTCTATCTGGCAGAGTTTTGAAGACTTTTGGTAAATTTCATTCATCACCACCACCCCTGTTGTGTCCATGAAAGAAAGATGGTGTTCTCCCCCTCACCCCCACTGACCAGCTGAGCCCACCCGCAATATACACTGATTTTTGAGCTTCTGAACGTTCAACTCTCTGCTGATTTTCAAATTTGGTTATACGTACAACAACTGCTAAAGATGCATCATTTGGATTTTCTGTACTCCAGTTCCCAGAATTTTCTATTGTGGGACTTCCACCTAACAGGCCCACACCTACAGACACAGAAGTTTCACTCACCTGGAAAAAGGCCTAGCTCAAAAACTTAATGGCCTAATTTTGGCCTATTATCCTGTTAAAAAGGAGTCTCCCAGCTAGCACTTAGGACGGCCCTCTTTTTAAAATAACAAAGCTTTTTCAGAACTAGATCTTGGCCTGGTTGAGGTGTTGTTGAATTTGGATCTCCTGTACACAAAAAACTCCCAGAATCCTCTGAAGCAACAAAGGGGTTGTATGATAGTTGCTTAGCCTTAGTAAACCAGCCAACCCAGAGTGAATTTTCTGAAAACAAAAAATAAGTTAGCAAAAGATGGTTTGGGGATCATTTCCAGCATCCTTTTCTTGGCATAATATTTCCTTAGCTGACAGACCAAAGATGAAAGTCTTCCTTAACAGCATTAAACCTACTTTTTCCGCAATCCTCTGCAATACCTGGGATGGCGGTGGGGAGTCTCCATAAAGGTTATTCAGATCTTCCTCTGAAGGAAGGAGTAAGGAACCTTAAGGAAGAAGAATTTGAAGATCATTCTCAAACATTCCTCAGAATTCTTATCGTGTGTTTGTTCTTTGGCAAACCAGTTGACCCCAGTTTCCTGTTTAAAAAGAGTTTCTTGAAGAAAAACTTTAGCTGGAACATGAAATTGTACTGTATATATCGAGAGAAAAAACTGGTCTGGAATTTTTCAAATTTTCTTTCGAGCAGAGGGTGAAGATGGAGTTGCCTGTTATTCGTGTTTTGGAAACTTAGCTCTCCACCTCGAGGAAGAACTCCGCAAGACCTGGAACTTTGCAGAATGTCCCGTTTTTGTTTTTCCATGCTGTTAGCTAGAGGGTCAAGTACAGTGGGGTCTTGACTTAAGAACGGGAAAAACTTTAGCTGGACCATGAAATTGTACTGTATATATCGAGAAAACAAACTGGTCTGGAATTTTTCAAATTTTCTTTCGAGCAGAAGATGAAGATGGAGTTGCCTGTTATTCATGCTTTGGAAACTTAGCTCTCCACCTCAAGGAAGAACCCCGCAAGACCTGGAACTTTGCAGAATGTCCCTTTTTTGTTTTGCCATGCTGTTAGGTAGAGGGTCAAGTACATACTTCCAAAAGGATATTTATTTTACTTGGTGTTCTGGTGTTCTCGTGGTGTGCTTGAAAAGAGAAGAAAATCTTTAGCTCTGAAAATTTCGTGCGCCTAGAAATTCGAGGTTGGCTCCTTTTAGGATCAGAAATATGGTCCACCTCCCCCTGTGGTTGAGGGCTTCAAACCTTTGTGCATTGTTCAGTATCAACACTTTTATCAAAAATGTGATTACTGTCCTGTTACAGAAAAGTTTATGATTTTCAAATAGCTTTTAAATACTTTTTTCCGCCCCTAACAAGGCAACCTTCTGAGGTAGCAGATTATGATTTAACTAGAAAGGTCCTATATAGAGATGGGCACAAACTGGTTCGTCCCAGTTCGTGAAGGTGGCAGCGCAGGAACTGCTGCTGCCCTCCTCTGGCTCAATCAGCCACTCCCCAGGCCCCACCTCCCGGATGTTCAACAGATCTACCAGTCCCGGCAACAGCTCAGGCTTTTCTGCCCCGCCCTCTTGGCTGATCGCCCACTCAGAGAAAAGGGCGGGGCAGAGAAGTCTGTGCTCTTGTTCCTGATTGGGAGATCAGCCAAGGGGGTGGGAAAAACAAGCAAGCTGGGCCTGGTGGGTGGCTGATTGGCTAAGGAGGCAAGGTTGGGGAGCAGCAACACTTTGATGAACAGGGAGGAATTGGTGTGTGCCCATCTCTAGTCTATATATATAATTTTTAAAAATTAAACTTTTTGTTTTCTTGTAAGAAAACTAAATTATTTCAACATATCTCTAGACTATACTATATTTCCTAAGGCTTGCGGGTGTGATGTTGGCCACTTATGGTTATGGGTGTGCCTGCTTTATGGCTTTTTACATTTGGGATACAGTACTTTTGACTCTGAAACGGCTTCCTTTTAAGGCCTTCCATTGTTATGATCCTATTTCCTTGTAAGTCTTTTTATAGCTTGCCCATTGCTGTGTTGCTAAAAGTGTTGCGACTGCCCAAGTATTGAGGGTAGGGGTGAAGAAAAGGAATGCAGCTAAAGTTTTGTGATGTGCTTATTAAATGACGAGTTACAGTTTTCTTGGTCATTCCTGGCGTTTTTGAGCCATTCTCTAAACATACATGTATCTACTGTGAAAAAATATCTAAGTAAACAGATGTGGGTTTTTATTTTTAGGTTTTTCATCCTGGCACATAAAGAAGAATATGTGAAAGGGGACAAGACTAGATATGTTTAATACGGGGAGAAAGTAAGGGACTACATGGCCATGGGTTTCTAAGTTTAAGAAGAAAAGATATCCACTTCCTGTTTTGGATCAAATTAGGTATGCCTTGATAATCGAAGAGTGGCACCTTGCATCTGACTTGGTAGAGCCAGTGACCTAAATATATAAAATGGACAGAGCTGTGAGGAAACAAAGCTACACTTTGCCCCTCTGGATATTGTGGACTACGATTCCCAGAAGCCTCAGCGGAGATGGTCAGTGTAGAATGGCATAGGTCAACCGTTACCTGCGAGGCCAACATTTCTCTACCTGGAAGAGAGAGACACTGAATGCAATGCCTAGTTTGGCCCAGAGTTTAGCTTGCCATTTGAACGAGTTTAAGCAGGGCTCCTGGTTGGACTGAAATGTGGGGCATGGGACCCTCTAGGTTCACCACCGACGTTGCTCTACAAAATTAAGAAAATGATGGTGGGGTTGGTGAGCCCCCAGCTGAGCACTGCCATGTGTCCCCACCCTGAAAGGTTCCTGATAGAAGCAAACATATTAAAATGGATAATATTATAAATTTGGCAATTTGCTAACAGAAAAGGGGGCTTTTAATGAAAGTGATTGACTTTGGTGTGTATTTGCATATTTAAATTAATTTCTTTATTACTTATTTAAATATTTTTACCCTACCTTTCAACTCAAAAAGGACCCGAGGCAGCAAATCCTTGAGATACCATATTTAAAGTGGAAACCATGAGTATACAACAGTGGCTTATATCATTAAAAGACAATATTTAAAGCTAAGAACAGTGAGTACAAAGAGGCAACTTGCATCATTAAAAGACAACTTCTCCTGAATTAGGGAGGGAAGCAAGTGCAACATACAAACAAGTCTCTTTGTGTTGAGCCACTAAATTATAGCATAAATTGAGAATCAGGAGAGAGGAGCACCCACACCTTGAAGACACCTCACACGGAAGAAATCAAACTTCCTTACTCTCCTGGGCTGCTTACCTTGAGATTTGTTACCTCATCCCTTTTGGAGACCCAGAGAAACATTAGACAGGGCTGAGCGGGCCTTTGATAAGCAG